TTGGCAATGGAATGAATGTCAGCATCGCTGCCCTGCAAAGAGGGGCGCTGGGGGGGCGGCGGGGGGGGGGGAGAGATAGATAGAGAGAGGGGGAAAGGAGCAGAGAGATAGAGAGAGAAGGGGGGGAGAGAGAGAGAGAAAAGGGGGAGAGAGAGAGAGAGAAGGGGGAGAGAGAGAGAGAGAGAAGGGGGAGAGAGAGAGAGAGAAAAGGGGGAAGAGGGAGAGAGAAGGGGGTAGAGAGAGAGAGAGAGAAGGGGGGGAGAGAGAGAGAGAAAAGGGGGAAGAGGGAGAAAGAAGGGGGAAGAGGGAGAAGAGAAGAAAAGAGTGCGGGAGAGAGAATGGGAGAGGGAGGGAGACAGAATCACTAGGGGGTAGGGGTTGGGGGTTGTTGGGGGGGTGTGGGGGTGGGGGGGGGGACAGAGCTGGCAGTATCAATGAACAGATGGTTATACAAGTTCTCTCTCCGTTCTCCGTGACTAGAGGGGAAAAAACATGCGGGAATTCACATCGACCCCATTCTGGGAATACTCTGGAACGATGCAAATCCATTTGAATATATTTTTTTCCAGTATTGATTTCTCTCTCTCTCTCTCTCTCTCTCACTCTCTCTCCCCTCTCTCTCTCTCTCTCTCTCGCTCTCACGAGTACTGGTTCAGGAATTTTCTAATAGATTCCAGCCGTCAATCTGGAGCCAAATTAGCATCCGGGAAAAGCTCACAGCCGTGCAATCGATTGGAACGCAGAGAGAGGCCATTCAGCCCATCGAGTCTGTTCCTCCCCACTGCCCCAGCCCTATCCCCCACACCCCTTCAAGCCTCCGTCCTTCATCTAACGATAACAACGACGACATCGGAATAATCCTTGCACTTAGCACGGAGCCTTATCACGTCGTTGAGACGTCTCAAGGGATACGTTGCAAAGTGTAGTGACTGTGTGTTTTGTGGGCGGGAAGCGGCAGCCAATCGCGCCCAGCGACGTCCCCACAAACAGCCGCGGATCGAGTGACCAAATTATTATTTTTTTTGAGAAGTTATTACCCCCCAGAAAGCGATCCGCCAATCGACTAAACAACTAACAGCATCCCCACCCCCCCCCCCCCCCCCTCCCCCCCGCACCCCCCCACCTATATCACACAGTCACACTGCTGTGTGTGAGGGACGGTCCTGGGCTGCAAATTGGCTGCAACATTTGCCGACAGAAATGTGGGGTCGGTGCACTGTACAGGTAAAGAGCTTTCTGTTGCCTCAAAGGTAAGGTCTGTTGTTATTAGATGATTTCCACCGTCGTGAGGGTCTGACGAGAGTTTGGAGCGCGAGGCGAGAGGGGTCGAGGTCCAACTCTTACACGGGCTGAAGAATATTTGCTGCAGCGCCCGATCGCGCCGTTGCGATATTACCCTCCGCGCAACGGCTTCACCCGCCACCGGTGAAGTCAAGTCACTCTGCGGCGTATCCCGTGCAGCGCTTTGAGGCGTCTCGAAGGGGCTGTGCCAAACGTTTTAAGATTATTGTTATTATTATACTGTAATATAATCAATCCCTGACGTGACTGCGCGGACTAAATTTAGACGAGAGAATGCCTGTCCCAAGGTGAGCGGATTGAGCGCGTGTGCTTTCACACTAGGATTAAAAATACACTCGGATCTGAATGAACCTTATGATGATTTTCTTTCAATTGAACGCCATTGCCGAGAGATGGTCAAATTGAATATTAATATCATCCGCATTTGTATGAATCCTCTTCCAACCATCTCTAAAGCCGTTTCGATAGTATTTTATATGTATATTCCTATATATATATATATTATGCGCTCTTCTTTTTTTTAAAAAATACTCATTACATCGAAGGCTTAACGGATCGGATTTCCTTTCCCCCCTCAAACCCGACCCCCAAAATAAAATGTCAATTAAAAAGAAAAAAAAAAATTGTTCCCGACACAGAAAACCAACGGTCGTTTCTTCCCGCGAATTATCAGATTTGCCCGACTATTATGATGTAAAATTAAACCTCTCTCGACACCAAAGATTTCTGCTTTGCCTCAATCATCATCCTCTCTCTCTCTCTCTCTCTCTCTCTCTGTCTCTCTCTCTCTCTCTATACCTGGACCGTAAGACACGATTAAACACGTTAAGACTCTTCCAATCCCAAGAAGTCGACTTAAGGCAGTGAATCCGGGTGCGGAACACTTTGAAATCGGATTGAGAAAGAAAGCCCAGAGAATAGTGAGAATAATAATCTTCGCCCTCGACCACAGCGCCTGATCGCGTCGTCGAGACGTCTCAAAGCCCCTTCACGGGATGCCCTGCAAAGTGGAGTGACTGTGCACTTTCGTGGGCGAAACCCAGCAGCTCGACTGCGCCCAGAGACGTCCCCACAAACTGTCGTGGATTAAATGACGATATTGTGGGGAGTGGGTGTGGGGGGGGGGGGGGTGGGGGCGGTGGAGTTGTAAGCGGGTCGGAGAGGTGGAAGGAAACTCGGATCGGATGGGCCGAGAGAGTAGAACCAGAGGGCGTGGGTTTAGGGCTAATCTCTCCCGCAACAGTGACCCCATCGCCCCCCCGTCCTCGCCCGGCTCCCCACCCCCCACCCGGGATTGGATTCAAGATCCTTGTCATTTTTAAAACAGAGCGCACGGTCACTACACTTTACGGTGTCTCCTGTGAAGCGCTTTGAGAAGTCTCGACCAGGTGATCGGGCGCCGGGTCAAATGCGCCGGATTATTATGATGATTATTATAATAAATCAGGGCTCTTCTGACTTGTTGTCTGACATTCCCGGCACTTGTTTGTTGCCTGATGTTTATCTGCTTGAAATATTTATCGCTGAGTCCGATCGGAACCTCTCTCTCTCTCTCTTTTTCAGACAAGTCTGTGGCTCATCAATAAGAGATGTTGCATTAATTCCATAATCCGCTGAGTCAAAGTGTTACTGCTCCATGACTGCCCCTCCCCAACCGCCCCATTCCATCACAAGATAATAATAATAATAATAATAATTCTTGCATTTGATACAGCGCCTTATAATGTCTTCGAGACGTCTCAAACGTCATCAAAAGCCCTTCAGCCCTCCCAATCTCATCACTCCACAACCTCAACCACCGTATTCCTCTCCCCCCCCCAACCCCCACCACCCACCCCATTCCCCCCTCTCCCCCTCCCCCCCAACCCTCCACCCCAACATCCAGTTGTTTCTAGGAACAGGAGTAGTCCCGGTAGAAGAGGAGGGTCTTGAAGGAGACGAGGGAGCGAAGGGGGGAGCGCGAGGCGAGGGGACTGTGGGATGGAGTTCCAAAGGGTTGGGGGCAGAGAGGCTGAAGGGCCGACCGCCGATGGTGGGGTGGGCAGGGCTGGGCAGGGCTGGGCAGGGCTGGGCAGGGCAGGGCAGGGCGGGCAGGGCTGGGCTGGCAGGGCTGGGCAGGGCAGGGCAGAGCTGGGCAGGGCGGGCTGGGCAGGGCTGGGCAGGGCAGGGCTGGGCAGGGCTGGGCAGGCAGGGCGGGCTGGGCAGGGCTGGCGGGCAGGGCTGGGCTGGGCTGGGCAGGGCAGGGCTGGGCAGGGCTGGGCAGGGCAGGGCTGGGCAGGGCAGGGCTGGGCTGGGCAGGGCTGGGCTGGGCAGGGCTGGGCTGGGCAGGGCTGGGCAGGGCAGGGCAGGGCAGGGCTGGGCAGGGCTGGGCAGGGCAGGGTAGGGCAGGGCAGGGCAGGGCGGGAGGGGGGGTGGGGGTGGAGCAGGCCGGAGCCCGCTGAGTGGAGCAGAGGGAGAGGACAGGTCAACATGGGGTTACCAGGTCACGGAGGTAGGTCGGGAGGAAAGCGAGTCCATGGAGGGCGTGCGAAGGGGTCTTGTGAAGACTCAATCCACTTCTCCCCACCTCAACCGCTCAGAAACAGGGGAGCAATCCCTTCGCCCGCCCGCCCTCGCCTTCCTCGCTCGCCCTCGCCCGCCCTCGCCCACCCTCGCCCACCCTCGCCCTCGCTCGCTCGCTGGACGATCCACGAGATCGTCCACAAACTATTCCCGTCAACAAAAAAAACCACGGTCGCCTCTGAACTCACCTTCGGAGCTGTGGAACAGCGAAAGGCAGTGTTTGTTCGGTAACAAAATACTTTAACAGTAACGTTGAAAAAAACAACACAACAACAGCAGCAGCGGCGGCGGCAACAACAACAACAACAACAACTTGCATTTCTATATCGCCCTTCACTCTGGACAGTGTCTTCCTATTCGTTGCAAGATACATAACCAGCTCCCATCCCTCCCTCCCTCCCTCCCTCCCCCACTCCCCCACTCCCCAAAACAAAACACGCTCTCCCACCGTAGTGATAATCATATCATATCAATAACAATAATAATTTGGTCACTTCAATCCGGGGACGTCTCTGGGCGCAATCGCCCACAGAACACAGTCGGCTGATTACGCACAGCGGTGTCCCACAAACAGATGTGGATCGAGTGACCCATTTTTTGGCCGCGGGTGGGTTTTTTTTGGGGGTGGAGGGGGGGGAAAGGATTATGACCCCCGGAAAACAATCCGTCAATCGGGTTCTAACTTAGAGGCGCGTAGAGAAGAGAAACTTGCCTAAGGTTTCGTCCCAACCCCCACGTGGAATTATTATAACAATAATAATAATGTACTATTATGATAATTACTGTATTGCCACGAAAGGCAATTATTATTCCAATAACGATAACAGTCCCTAATGATTATTATTGTAATAACAGTTGGGTTTCGTGGCGCGAAATAATGATTATTATTACTGATTAATATTGTCATCATTATTATTATTATCCGATTGCAGAATACCGATCCATCGTCGTCGAATAAACGATGGATTTGAGGGGCGTCAGCGGGGGGTGGGGGGCGGGCGGGCGGAGAGGGGAATACAGAGCCAGCGAGCGACAGTTCCTCGGGGTTCCTGCCCCCTCCTCACACACCCCCGAACTAGAAGCTACTGTTTTCGAGAGGGAGAGAGAGAGAGAGAGAGAGAGAGAGACGCACTCACTTTTTGAGTCATATAAAAAGGGTCCAAATCCTCGATGGGCTCAGCGATGCACTTGCTGGGGGGATCGCCGTAGATGAAGGGCAGACCCTTGCCAGCCTCCAGGTCGCTGTTGGGCTTGGCCTTTTGCTCATCATCGTCGCGGTGACTGCTGTCTTGCTTCGGGGGCTTCTTGTTCTTCTCTTCTGCGATCCGCCTCTCGATGGTGGCCATAGACTCGCGGGTGAAACGTCGGAAGCTGTCCGGGCCTGGAGGTGCAAGCATATTCGCTGCCATCTTTTCATCCTGCAGTTACGGTCTCCGATTAGGTGGGGGGGGGGCCTCCAAGAGTGGACGATTCTGTCTGGGCAAGGGGGGGGGTGGGAAAAAACACAACACACCACGCACGCACACGCACACGCACACGCACCACACCACACGCACACAGACACGCGCACACACAGACACGCGCACACACCAAGACGCTCTCGTTAACATTTTTTGTCATCCAATAAGAATCCTCGCGTTCGACACAGCGCCACATCACGTCCTCGAGAGGTCCTCGAAGCGCAGTGACCACCGTGTGGTTTGCGGGCGGAACGCGGCAGCCGACGGCGCCCGGCGAAGTCCCGCCGCAAACGGCCGTGGATCGAGCGACCGCATTACTATCAGAAATGTGTGTACGTATGGATTTTTTTTTTAAAAAAAAGGGTTTATCGCCTCCAGAAAGCGATTCCCCCCCAATCGACCCAACGACCGGGTTCCTACTGACTGCTGGTGAACAGAGGCGAGCGCACGCGGCTGGGTGTGTGTGGGTGGGTGTGTGGGTGGGTGTGTGGGTGTTGGTGTCTGTGTGTGGGTGTGTGTGTGGAGTAAGGAAACTTGCCCGACATTTCTGCCCTGACCAGGAATCGAACCCGGGTCCTCTGGCTTGCGAGGCGAGGGCTCTAACCCCCCGCGTTACAGGGAACTCCACGTGAATAACCGGGCGGTTGAACAATAATTTATCGGAACAGGAGTAGGCCATTCAGCCCCTCGAGCCCGTTACGCCATTCCGTTGGATCAAGGCTGATCTGTGCCTCATTAATTAATAATTAAATGAATAATAATCCCTTGTAATAATCCTTGAGCCTTGAGACAGCGCATCGTCGCGTCGCTGTCTGTTTTTTTTTGGGGGGGGGGTCGATCGCGCCCAGCGACGTCCCCACAAACAGCCGTGGATCGGGCGACCCAATTATTACGTTCGCGAGCGTTGTTTATTGCGTTATTTATTACTTTCGCCGCCACGACGAGGAGCCGGGCCTCTTGGCAGGATTAAAAAAAAAAATGGAAAGACGTACCGTTTACGGCTTAAAAAGGACTTACCTTTCAATTCCTTTAGTTCATGTTAAAAAAAAATGGATATTCCTCCTTTATTTTCCGCCCCCAAAGTACAAGGCTCTCCTTATTTTTTTTCGCTCTCCTTATTATTGGTCCGGGAGAGGAGGGTCGATTTTTTTTTTTGTGTGTGTGCGTTGTATTTCTCTCTCTCTCCCCTCTCTCTCTCTCTCTCTCTCGCTCACTCTCGCATTCTCTCTCTCGTTCTCTCTCTCGCTCTCGCTCTCTTTTATTCAGGTGCTAATTCCAGCCGTGTCAGCAAGTATCGGAATCAAGTGGCAAAGCAGAAAGACCGTGAACTGGGGAGAGAAACAACACGATATTTTTAAAAAATATATATATATATACGTACAGAAAAATCATGCGTTATTTGTCCGATAAGCACTGTGCATCCTTTTTTTTTAAAAAAAAAGCAACATAGGAACAGGAGGAGGAGGCCATTCAGCCCCTCGAGCCTGTTCCGCCACGCTATTAGAACATGCCCTACCTGTACCTCAACTCCAATTACCCCCATTTGCCCCGTAGCCCCTCGAAACCCTGAGCTGACAAACATCTCTCCACCTCAGTCCGGACCACGTGAATAGGCCATTAAATGTTTTGTGTTTCAAAAAACAAAATGCCCCGGACATCCGGATATAATAATAATAATAATAATAATAATAATAATAATAATCCTGGCGTTTGCTACAGCGCCTCATCACGCCGTCGAGACGTCTCAAAGCGCTTCAGGGGATAGACCTTAAAGCGGAGTGACTGTGTGTTTTGTGGGCGAAACATGGCAGCCAATTGCACACAGCGACAGCTCACAAACTGGTGGTGGGTATACAGTACACAAACACACGCACAGACACACACACACACCATAATATACTTAATGTATTTTATGTACACACACACACACATACGCACACCCATATACACACACCACACACACATATACTCATAATACACATACCACACACAGATACACACATATACATGTACACATCCACACACACACACGCGCGCGCGCGAACGCATATGCATTACATATATACACACACGCGTACACATACATATAACACACATACACGAACATTACATATACACACACATACACGAACATTACATATACACACATACACACACATGCATGCATATACACACACACATATATGTATAAATTGTATAACACAAACACCGCCCTATGTATCTATGTGTAATATATTGGACATTCCCCCCTCTCTCGCCCTCTCACTCAGATTACACCACAATTATTGGGTTAACCCCCACCCCCCCCACCCCCCCACCTCATGCCGTACAGCCACCTGCACAGTATTAATGTGTGTGTTTGTCGGGAGAAAGGGTTATACAAGAGATAAAGGACTTTACGCAACCGCCCGCTGCTCAATGCATCTCCCACCAAACCCCACCCAACACATCAAACACTCAGGAGGTTAATAACCTCAGCTCCAGATATACGTGTGATTAGAAACTGATTGGAGTAACATGGCGTTTAGTTGGGGGGGGGAGTGAGGGGGGAGTGAGGGGAGGAGGGAGGAGGAGTGAGGGAGAGAGGAGAGAGGAGGGGGAGGGGGGGAGAGGAGAGAGGAGGAGTGGGGGAGAGAGGAGGAGTGAGGGGGAGAGGAGAGAGGAGGAGTGGGGGAGAGAGGAGGAGTGAGGGGGAGAGGAGAGAGGAGGAGTGGGGGAGAGAGGAGAGAGGAGGAGTGCGGGGGGAGTGAGGAGAGGAGAGAGGAGTGATGGAGAGAGGAGAGTGGGGGAGAGAGGAGAGAGGAGGAGTGGGGGAGAGAGGAGGAGTGAGGGGGAGCGGAGAGAGCAGGAGTGAGGGGGAGTGAGGAGAGAGAAGGAGTGAGGGGGAGTGAGGAGAGAGGAGGAGTGAGGGAGAGAGGAGAGAGAAGTGAGTGGGAGTGAGGAGAGAGGAGGAGTGAGGGGGAGTGAGGAGAGAGGAAGAGTGAGGGAGAGAGGAGGAGTGGGGGGAGTGAGGAGAGAAGAGGAGTGTGGGAGAGAGGAGAGAGGAGGAGTGAGGGAGAGAGGATGAGTGAGGGGGAGAGAGGAGAGAGGAGGAGTGAGGAGAGAGGAGAGAGGAGGAGTGGGGGGAGTGAGGAGAGGAGGAGTGAGGGAGAGAGGAGAGAGGAGAGAGGAGGAGTGAGGGAGAGAGGAGAGAGGAGTGAGGAGAGAGGAGAGAGGAGGAGTGGGGGGAGTGAGGAGAGGAGGAGTGAGGGAGAGAGGAGAGAGGAGAGAGGAGGAGTGAGGGAGAGAGGAGAGAGGAGGAGTGAGGGGGAGTGAGGGAGAGAGGAGTGAGGGGGAGTGAGGGAGAGAGGAGTGGGGGAGAGGGGCGAGGAGGAGTTAGGGAGAGAGAGGAAAGAGCTGTGAGGGAGAGAGGAGGAGTGAGGAGAAGGAGAGAGGAGTAGGGGGGAGAGAGGAGAGAGGAGGAGTGAGGGAGAGAGGAGAGAGGGAGAGAGGAGAGGAGAGAAGAGGAGTGGGGGAGAGAGAAGAGAGGAGGAGTGGGGGAGAGAGGAGAGGAGAGAGGAGGAGTGGGGGAGAGAGGAGAGAGGAGCAGTGGGGGAGAGAGGAGAGGAGAGAGGAGGAGTGGGGGAGAGAGGAGAGAGAGAGGAGTGGGGAAGAGGAGAGAGAGGAGGAGTGGGGGGAAGTGAGGAGAGGAGTGGGGGTGTGAGGAGAAGAGAGGGAGGAGTGGAGGGGAGTGAGGAGAGGAGAGAGGAGTGGGGGAATGAGGAGAAGAGAGGGATGAGTGGGGGGGAGTGAGGTGGAGAGCAGAGGGAGGGAGCAAGAGAGAGGGAGGGAGGAGAAGGGGGAATGAGGGAAGTGAGGGGGAGGGAGAGAGAGAGTAGGGGGGGGAGGAGAGAGGGAAAACGAGGAAAGAGGAATGGAGGGAGGGAGGAATGGGGAAAACGAGGGAGTGAAGGGTGCAATGGAGGAGAGAGTGCGCTGAGGGGGAGGGAGGGAAGGGAGAGAGTGAAGAGAGAAGAGAGGGACGAGAGGAGAGAGAGAGGGAAGAGAGGAGAGAGAGGGGGAAGAGAGGAGAGAGAGAGGGAAGAGAGGAGAGAGAGGGGGACGAGAGGAGAGAGAGGGGGACGAGAGGAGAGAGAGGGGGAAGAGAGGAGAGAGAGGGGGAAGAGAGAGGAGAGGGGGAGAGAGAGGAGAGAGAGGGGGAGAGAGGAGAGAGAGGGGGAGAGAGGAGAGAGAGGGGGAAGAGAGGAGAGAGGGGGAAGAGAGGAGAGAGAGGGGGAAGAGAGGAGAGAAAGGAGAGGGGAAAGATAGAAGGAGGGAAGAGAGAAGTAGAGAGACGAAGAGAAAGAGAGAGAGAGAGAGAGAGAGAGAGAGAGGGAATGAGAGAGAAGGGAGCAAAGAGAGAGAGGGGGAGGGGGGGGGGAGATAGAGGGAGGAGAGGAGAGAGGGAGAGAGAGGAATAAAATGTGAGAAATGAAGAAGAAACATAAACAGAAAAAAATTAATTGGGGTTTGTATGAAGGCCACAGAGGTTTGGGCGTTCAATAATAATATTACCAATAATAATAATAATAATCCTGGCATTTGACACACGTCGCTGAGACGCCTCACAGCGCTTCACAGGACGCACTGTCAAGTGTAGTGACTGTGAGTTTGGTGGGCGAAACGCAGGGGGGGGGGCCAGTTGCGCCCGGCAGTCGTGGGTTGAGGAGCCAAATTATTATCATCATTATATTTTTCGAAAGCGATTATTATTATTGCTTAGTGTGTGTGTGCGTGTGCGTGCGTGTGCGTGTGTGTGCGTGTGCGTGCGCGTGTCCCCCCTGGCTCACTCCCTACCCATTAACCACCTTCCTTCCCCCTCTGCCCTCTTCCTTTTCCTCCTTCAATCTCTCCCGAAGAGGTGGGCGAGGACGGGGGGGGAATGAACGTTAAGACGTCGCTGACTGTTGAGTCCAAAGATTAGGAGCTGCCCAGGTCAGGACCTACAGGGCTGAGCCTCTCAGGAACCTGTGGACAGGGTGTGGCCTCCATTAAGTTGCTTCGAGAAGTCCCGAAACTCTTTTAAGAGGAAAATAAGATCCTTTTGGTGCGGATGTGGGGGGGTTGGGGGGTGGGACGGGGGGTTGAGATGGGATGGAGGGGTCAGAGGAACACAGTAGATATTTCGCCCACAAAGTGCACCGTCAATTCAATTTACAGTGTATCCTGTGAAGCGCTTTGAGACGTCTCGAAGACGCGATGAGGCACTGTGTCAAATGCAAGGATTATTATTATTATTATTATTATTATTATAAGCAAACAGTAATGTTTCTCTGGCTAACTGACCAGCCCAGCAACACACTTCAATCCAGTCTATGAAATAACATGGGATGTAGAGATAGGGGGAGGAGAGGATGGAGAGGGGGGTGGGTGTGGGGAAGGAGAGAGCTGCATATCAACACAAGAC